CTTCACCAAATGGTGCTGGGAAAACTGGAAATCCATATGCAACAAAATAAAATTAAACCCCTCTCTCCCACCATGCACAAAACTCAAAATGGATCAAGGACTTAGGAATAAAATCAGAGACTCTGAGTCTAATAGAAGAAAAAGTAGGTCCTAATCTCGATCTTGTGGGGTGAGGCCCCAACTTCCTTAATAAGACTCCTTGGCGTAAGAATTAAAATCAAGAATCAATAAATGGGATACCCTCAAACTAAAAAGTTTCTTCTCAGCAAAAGAAACAATCTGTGAGGTGAATGAGTGCATCCTGGGAGCAGATCTTTACCCCTCACACATCAAATAGAGCACAAATCTTTAGGGTATATAAAGAACTCAAAAAGCCAAACACCAAAAAAACAACCCAATCAACAAATGGGCCAAGGACCTGAAGAGACACTTCTCAGAAGATGATGTACAATCAATCAACAGAAACACAAAAAAATGTTTATCATCACTAGCAATTAGAGAAATGCAAATCAAAACCACTCTTAAGATTTCATCTCACTCCAGTCAGAATGGCAGGTATTATGAAGACAAACAACAATAAGTGTTGGTGAGGAAGTGGGGAAAAAGGTACACTCCTACACTGCTGGTGGGACTGCAAATTGGTGCAGCTAATCTAAAAAGCAATATGGAGATTTCTTGGAAAATTGGGAATGGAACCACCATTTGACCCAGCTATCCCTTTCCTCAGTCTGTACCCAAAAGACTTAAAAACAGCATACTACAAGGACACACCCACATCAATGTTTATAGCAGCACAATTCACAATAGCTAAATTATAGAACCAACCTAGATTCCCTTCAGTAGATGAATGGATAAAAAAAAAGTGGCATATATACACTGGATGCCCTTCAGTAGATGAATGGATAAAAAATAGTGGCATATATACACAATGGAATATTACTCAGCAATAAAAGAGAATAAAATTATGGCATTTGCAGGTTAATGGATGGGGTTAGAGAAGATAATGCTAATCCATACATTAGCCAATCCCATATAACCAAATGTTGAATGTGTTCCTTGATATCAGGAGGCTGATTCATAGTGGGATAGGGAGAGGGAGCATGGGAGGAATAGACGAACTCTAGATAGGGGAGAGAGGTTGGAGGGGAAGGGAGGGGGCATGGAGTTATAAATGATGGTGGAATGTGATAATCATTGTTATCCAAAGTACATGTATGAAGACATGAATTGGTGTGAATATACTTTGTATGTAACCAGAGATATGAAAAATTGAGCTCTCTATGTGTAATAAGAATTGTGTAATTGAAAAAAGATAACATTATCAAGGAAAGAATAAATTTTACCCTGGAGAACAGAGACAAACAAGAATTTTGAGGAGTGAGGGTAGAAGTGGAGAACTGGAAAAAAGAAATAAGCATAATTAAAAAGAGTTGCAACCTCCATGTGAAAAAAAACCCAACATAATGGGAGACTAAGGCTAAGGTTTTGTACCATTCTATTGATCCTGATTTATGTTCATCATCTATGTTTAAATACTTACCTGGTTAAGAAGAATAATGCATTCAAGTTGCAGATAAACTCTCTAAGTAATCTCTAAAGTATTTTTTGGGGGTAGTACTACAATTGGGTTTAAGAAGATACAGTCAGTTTTCTACATTGTAGGTCATGAAACCATAGTTTTCATTCACCTGAAAAATGAAATTGTTATATAAACAAAATTCTGTCACTCAGAAAAGTGATCTATAATGGTGTTATTAAAAAAAGAAAAGAAAAAAAGTTGCAGTGACTGACGGGTTAAAAGCCCTAGACTCCTTTGGGAGTAATGGGTGGTAGTTTCTTCAAGAAGGGGAAGTTGGTGCCTAACATAGGAGCCCTGGGAGAATTGGGATGGTCAAATAAAGGAGGCATGGATTGTTCTTATGTCAGAATTCCATGTATATATTTGATCTTTGTTGAATCAGATTTTACTTTTATAATTTGGAATTTATTTTCTTAGTATTTTTAATGTTAAATGAAGATATTATGAATATATGTAATATAGATACTAGCGTCTAGTAGATGCTTAAATGATTTTTTAAAAAGGCATGCTATCCTTTTAGAGTAAATTCTTAGTTAATGTAATCATTCCATAGTATAGATGATAAAACAACCACCCCACCCCTCTTTTAAGCATTTACTGTTATTTAACGTATAAATTACTTTCTGGGTCAGAAATTTTTGATATTTACCTTTGTTGAAGTTATTACTT